ACGCCAAGTGAACTCCAGGAAGCCCTGATAAGTATGCCCAATAATAAGGCTCCAGGTCCAGACGGCTTCCCTGCAGAATTCTACAAAGAATTCTGGACAATTTTGGCACCAGTATTCCACGGCATGTTGCAGGAAATCGAGGAAAAGGGCAGACTACCACCAAATATGAATTCTGCCAACATTAGTCTCCTGCTAAAACCAGGCAAAGACCCTTTATTTCCCTCAAGCTATCGTCCAATTTCTCTTTTAAATGTAGACCTTAAAATAATCTGCAAAGCTCTCTCAAAGAGATTAGAGAAAATGACCCCCCTCTTAATTCATCCTGACCAAACTGGTTTCATAAAAGGTCGGCACTCCTCAACAAACACTCGTAGATTACTTAATTTAATAGACTACTCATACGATAAAAACATCGAAACCATAATATTATCTCTAGATGCAGAAAAAGCATTTGACAGAGTTAATTGGAAATTTTTATTCGCAACTTTACACAAATTTGGTTTTGGAAACTCTTTCATAAACTGGATAAGAATATTATACAATTCCCCAACGGCTCGTATCAGAACAAATGACCAGACATCCTCCAGCTTCTGTCTCCTGAGGGGCACCAGACAGGGATGCCCACTCTCCCCTTCACTTTTTGCAATTTTTATCGAACCTCTAGCAGCAGCATTTAGACAAGCTACAACAATTAAGGGCATAAAATGTAAGAACATAGAACATAAAATCAGTCTCTATGCGGATGATGTGTTGCTTTTTCTGCAAAACACACAAACCAACCTCTCTGAGGTAATTACTTTAATAAACTGGTTTTCAAGAGTTTCAGATTATTCAATTAACTGGCCAAAATCTACAGTTCTCCCCATTAACTGCTCCTTCCATAATTCTTCCTCTGCCCCACTGCAATCCGGAAATATTAAATATTTAGGTATTAATGTCTCTCCTAAGCTTTCAGACTTAACTAAACTAAACCACATCCCACTTCTAAAGAAAGTAGAAGGCGATCTGACTAGATGGAAATCTTTACCCATATCACTCATGGGAAGGGTCGCCACTATAAAAATTATGATCTTTCCAAAAATAAATTACTTATTTTTGATGATCCCTAACAAACCATCACAAGATTGGTTCAGATCTCTGGATTCATATATTTCCAAATTCCTTTGGAAAGATAAACCCCCACGTATCAGCTTAAAAACGCTACAAAGAACCAAGGATAGAGGAGGATTAGATCTGCCTAATTTTCACCAATACTTCTTAGCCAACAGGCTTCAGTTCATCTCAGAATGGTTAAAACATACCTTCTTAGTTGAGCCCTGGCTAGATGTTGAACAGGCACTATGCAAGGATCTAGAGATCTCAGACCTACCATTTATTAGCTCAAACATCAAAAGACATGAATGCTTTAAAAGTATCAACATCAGCTTTTCTCTAACAGCATGGTGGGAGTTTCTAAAAAATAACGGAGTCTTCATTAATCCCATGCAAACGTACACCTATCTGGAACAACCCTGACATATTACAAAACAATAATATGATTAATTTCCCAGAATGGAGTTGTAAAGGAATTAAATACTTAGAACATATATTAGAAGGAACAGACTTTATTCCATTTGACAGACTAGTTGAACAATATGGGATCAACAAGACAAGGTTTTTAGAATATCAACAAATTAAATCCATAGTAAAAAAGAAATTTAACCTCAGTCAAGTTGAATTACAAACACCACTAAGTGCGGCACATTTTCTTACTCTTAAATCCCCCAAATTATTATCTAAAATATACAGAACACTTTCTAAATTAGATGAATCAATATCCCTTCCTACTGCAAAGTGGGAAGCAGATTTATCAGTCAACCTAGACCAAAACTTCTGGTCTCAGATTTGCTTAAAAACCTTTAAATTAATTAAAAATCCCAGTCTGCAATTAATACAATACAAAATACTTCATAGAGTGCACTATACAGGTCATCGGATGTTCAAGATGGGCTTTACATCTTCCAACAACTGCTCACACTGTCAAGGCAATACACCAGACAATTACATCCACGCTCTTTGGTTCTGTCCACCAGTGCAAAAGTTTTGGCGCGAGATATGTGAAGACTTATCAAAGTGTCTGAAATGTAACATTCCAACTTCCCCCTTAGTGTGTCTACTGGGCAGCTTAGATAATGTCACTTCAGAAAAGAATATCGCCCATATGGTTTTCACTGCCCTATGCATAGCCAAGAAAACAGTCCTCATGAACTGGAAAAATAAAAATAATCTTAATTCTAACCAATATAGAAATTATCTATTAGATTACATTAGTCTTGACACAGCCTCTGCCACCACATTAGATCAATTGCTCTGGGCTCCTTTGATCAGCTCCATCACCTAGTGGGGGTGGGGGGTCATAGTTTGGTCCCGCCTTCACTGTTGTGATTGGTGAGGGGGTAGGGACAGGCTTAGGGCGTCGGGGGGTTCCCCGGAGGCATCTTCCTTGGGGGGCTCAACCCGGGGTAGCGGTCACGTCCGGTTGGGGGCTCTGTTGGCTCTCAGGTGACTGTTTCCTCGCGGCTGCGTGCAGCGGGGCTAGGGGAGGGTCTGTGCTGACGGACGTGGGTTACTGACCTGGTAGCCTGGCTGTCCCTGGGTGGGTCCGGGATGGGCGTGAGGTTCTGGGGGCGCTCCGTCTCTGGGCTGGGGCCCGGGCCGGGCCTCGGGGCTTGGGTCCTGGTTGGTGTGTTGCCGGGGTTGTGGGCGGGTGGGTGCATGGGGGCCCGGCCCTGGAGCAGGGTGCCGCCGGTGCGTCGAGCCGCCTGGGGGGCTCTTCAACTGGTGGGGGGGGATGGTCACATCTTGCAGGAGCTTTCCTCTCCTCAGGAACTCTCTGCAGGAGGGGGAGATACAGGAGAGGTGGAGGAAGATCTCAGCCTGGGCGTTTACCGTCTTATGTAGTCTGGAAGATGTGTGGATGGTGGGGTGGGTGCAGTTTTCTCTGTGGTGGGGTTGGGTGGACTATCCAGGGCTCTGTGGAGCCGGAGGGCGCTACTGCACTGGGCCCCGGTCTGATGGGCCTGGGCCCCCCTTCCCTGGCGGGTCGCGAAGGGTGGGAGTGCCTACTGGGGTCAGCGGGGGAGCTGGCCCCAGGGAGGGGTTACCTGCCCCTCCCTTCCTTCCCTCCCCATCTCCAGCTGCCTCCCTCTTCCCGCTCCTCCACAACCACTCACACATGCAGGGCCTTGGAGTGGGGGTATGTCACCAGGGTGCAGAGGAGGCTACCCCCCCCCCCCCCCCCCGTCCCCTTCTGGCTGCCTCTGCCTCAATTTTATCCCACAACTTAGACATTCACATTATTCACACTCTCATTACACATACATATAGGATCTTGGGGGTGGGCACAATCACGGAGTCCATATTACCATCAGGGTGTATACCTCACCCCTGACGTCGTTGCCCACCTCTCAATTTTAAATACACTTAGTCATTGAGGGCTAGCAGGAGGGACTATGCGCTTACCTGCTGCTCCTTGGCAGGTAGCTCCAAGCCCTCCTGGGTTTTAATTGCACCTTAGAACACATATGCATCAACACTACAATGAGCGGGTGGAGGGAGGTTTGGAGTCTTCTCCCACCCCCATTCTCTGCGGCCTGCTGGAGCGGGAGGGCTAGTAGGAGGAGTTGGCCGTCCGACTGCGGTCTGGGGTGTGGGGCCTCCCTGCTGCTGCGGAGTCGGGGTGGTCTGCCTCTCCCCACCGCAGGGAAAAGGGTAACACCACCTGGGTCTGGGTGCAATTCCCCCTCCAGGGGCAAGGGTACCTAGACCCGGTTTGTAGAGTACGCTTGGGGAGTGTGATTGTGTGTACAGCGTCTCTTTATGTCTGTCTCCACGTTGGTTGAGTGTGGAGTAAGTGCATATGAGAGCATGAGGGTGGGAATGGATGTTTGTGTCTGTGTGTGCCCGTATGTCTGTGTCTATATGTCAGGTTGGGTATCAGACGCCACCTCTCTGGGCACATCTCAGGCCCTCCAAGGTTTGGAGGCCTATCTCCACCCACCACCACTTCCCCTGCCGGTGGCGGACTCCCTCAGGTGTCGGTGTGTTGGTGGTTCTTTGTGTCTGGGGGTGGGCGTCCGGGTACACACCGGCTCACTCCTTGGCGGCCGCTTGTCGGGGCCTGGGGCCTGGGGCTCGCTCGGGCCCCTTTGGAGGTGGGGTGCCCCCGGCCTCTCGGCCTGGGGCTCGGTCACTCAGGCGCAGCTGGGGGCCGGCGGAGCTCACGGGCGCGTCACTGCAACTCCCCCTGACTTCTGCTCCGCGGCTGCTGGGCGAGCCCTCATCTGGGACTCTCCTCAGCTCTTACTGGAACAGTGGCGCGGCTGCCCCTCTGTTGGTCTTCCATGGTCTCTTGTGTTCTGGGGCCTCTGGATGTCTGGAGTTTTGATCTCCTCCATACCCGCTTCACACCCTGGAGGACGGGGCTGTGGCCCCCCCACACTCCCTAGCAGATCATTACATGGAGAAACCTTTGGAATGCAAGCATGCTGATCCACACAGGTATGCACACATGGGTATTCACAGACGCGGACTAAAGCTTTCTTGGCTGCTGCCTCAAAGCACACTGTGCGCTGTCTATCTTGCGTGCTGCACAATATCGTTTATTATTTAGTAAATATTGATATCTATGACTAGCTAGTTTATTGTGATGGTGCTTTGTTTTCTCTATTATTATGTTGCTCTTTGTTGTTTGCTGTCTCCTCTGTTTGTTTTTTTTGTTTGTTTGTTTTTTTTTCTCCATACAGGTGACCCAGGAGTTCTTTTTTTTTTTCTCTCTCTTCCCCCCCTTCTCACCGTCTCTTCTCCCCTTTGGTTTTCTTTCTTTCTCTCATTCATTCCCCCTGTCCTATTTATTAAAAAAAAAAAAAAAAAAAAAAAATGACAAAGGATGAACTGAAGCTCTGCCATCACGTAATGTCGCATACTGCTGTTTCTGATGTCATTTAAAAAAAAAAAAAAAAAAAAAAAAGAGATTTATGTACACATTTATTTTCAGTTGTTGTTGCTCTTGGATTAATTTCAGCCTCAGCAGCATCTCTCAGAAGAAAACCGCTGTTAGCTTTCTGCCATTATCAGGCAAAAACACTGGATTCAGGAGGTATTCTCTGCAGTTTAAGACCCAAACTGAACTCGAGCAGTGAATTCAGATTAGACTGGAATTGATAAGATGGATAGAAAAACTGCTGGAGCTGAATGACTGTGGTACATATTACGAAAGAATAAAAACTCGATGTGAATAACTTTACTCTTCTTAAATGTAACTCATAAACAAGTACAAGTGTGCACAGGTTACAGACTTTGTCTACATGTACACTTTTCCACAGTAATTTACATTGTGTGTTAAAGGAGATGGAGATTAGGAAGTAAAGTAGCGGATGCAGGGTGCATCATGACTGAGGCACGCTCTCCTGCACGAAGGCCAGGTGCTGCTTTTTTCCTGTGTGTGTGACTCAGAGCTGTAGTTGTGCCAAAACCTGATTGCTCATATTTAAACTGCTATAATTTCATCACTGAACTCTATTTGCCATCATAGGTAAAGACATTCCACATAAAAACACAGGCAAACATTGGAAATCAGTTGTTGGCACAACACCGTAACTGTCCTCTCCGGCCGACCTGCTTGTAGTGTCCGTGTGGAGAGTTTGATCGTGTTCTTCCTCTTTTCCCATCTCCCTGCGATTATTTACGCTTGCGCTCCCGGACATTTTGGACACCAGGTGACCTTTAAACTCGGAAGTGTTCTGGCACTGGAGGCAGCCGTACCTGCTGCGCCGATTGCGATCGTCAGGAGCGCCCTATTTAGCAGTGCGGCTGAGCTCCAGTCGACGCCGGATCGCTGAGTTTGCCCTCGTCAGTACGGCCGTATTAATTGTGTGAAAAAACCTCGCTTATTCGGATTGTCTTGCCAACGTGTGTGTGTTGTTGTGGCACTACGGTTCAGGAGCGGAGTCTGTTTTTCCCGAGAGTGGAGTCACGGACATTCATACCATGTGGAAGGCATTCAGGAAATCTCCTCAGGGAGACACAGTGCCAAAGATTTGTACACATGCGTTTGTATTTTTCACTGTAAGTAAATTCACAGTTTTCTCTCGGAAGAGTCCAGTGTTTGGGTCCACGTCCTCCCCCTCTCCCTGACAGTAACACCCTCCATGACTGTGGGAGTAGACAGATGTGGGTGTGTCCTCACCTCCCAGAGGACTCCAAATTGTCATCAGACAGACCTACAGACACAAAAACATTTGAAACTATAAACAATCAGACTATCAGCAGTGATTTAAATACTTTATGATCTCTGTGAAAATTGACATCACATTTATATATTTACAGTAAATATATGACAGAATTCAGGGCTTTTCTAGGCACCGAGCATACAAAGAAAAGTACTAAACTCAATTACAGATTTTCTTTTCATTATTTATATTTTATTAGTCAATTTCATCATCTGTATCTTTGCCACACAGGTGTAGATACTGTAGGTGCAGTGAATGCTTAAATTGTCTGTGAAGGTTCTCAGTCATCCAGGTCATCATAGTCTAAGGAGCTTGGAAAGAAAAGCGTCTGGACTTCTTTAAGTTGCTTGAAGACGTTTCACCTCTCATCCGAGAAGCTTCTTCAGTTCTAAGGTCAAATGGTGGAGAGTCCCAGATATAAACCTAGTGGGAGTTTCCCCCCACAGAGGGACAAAGGACCCCCTGATGATCCTTTAATCACCTGAGCCAAGGTGTGAAACTGGGCGTGGGTCCCAATCAGCCAGAGTTTCGGGTGAGCTCACTGTGAAACCTGGCCCCACCTTATCATGTGATTTCCTGAGATCAGATGGCCCAGGATGTGAGTGGGCGTTAAGGCGTCTGGGAAGGGAACTCAAAACTGGATTATAGATGGCAGAGAGTTGGTGTCGTAAACCCCGCCTCTGTTCAAAGATGGTCGCCCACAGTGGACATAGATGCTTCTTTCACTCCTCTTTCAAACCATCTGTCCTCTCTGTCCAAAATGTGAACATTGGCATCCTCGAAAGAGTGACCTTTGACCTTTAGATGCAGATGGACTGCTGAGTCTTGTCCTGTGGAGGTGGCTCTTCTGTGTTGTGCCTAGGGCTGCTCAATTAATCGAATTGTAATCTCGATTACGATCTGGGCTTTCAACGATCATTAAAAATGACTGAGCCGATTATTAGCCCCTCCCTCGTGCTTTACTCTCGCGCTGCTCCGTGTGGCAAATCGAGCGCACCTCTCTGCATTTCGAACACGTGTCACAACAATTAAGAGGACCCGAGGGAAGCTCGGAAAGCTAAGCAGAAGTTATTTGGAGAGGAGTGGACTGCCGTTGGTTGAAAAGAGAGGTAAAAAAAAAAAAAACTTCAGTGGTGTGGAAACATTATGGGTTCGCGGAGTCAGACGTGGATCAAGTAGACATAGTGTGTAAACTTTGCTACGGTGTCGTAGCTGCACCACAGAGCAACACTGCAAAGCTCACTAAACATAGATGTTTACATTTTTCATTTATTTCTTATATTGCAAACATTTGCACTGTTATCAGTATTTGCACTGTTTTATATTATTTTTTTAAAGTCATTATTCAACACATTGTTATTGTTAACCCTTTAAAGCCGGTCAGAGCAGCACGCTCCGTTTTGCGTAACTATTTTTAAATCCCTGTAGAATCTGAACCGCGTAAGCTAGCGCAATAAATTTTTTTGCATATGAAACCGGAGGAGTTGTACCGATCCGATCAGCTGTTCGTAACACTTCCCACATTGAAAAAGACGTCAACGCGAACTATCGAATGTCCGCCATTTCCTGCCCGAAACCTATACTGGTGGTTTTTTTTAAGTCATGTTTGACTCTATGCTTTTCTGAATAGTTTCTGGGATGCTTGGAACTCGAATTGCACTGCTGGAAATAGTTTATTTTGATGCACCTGCTGTTTTCTTTGCAAATTTGCATCATAGGATTGTTTTTTCGTTTTTCCTGCAGTATATAAAAATTGCTGTATCTCCAAAATAAAACTATGAAGACACTCAAAATAAATTTCCTGTTGTTGTAAACTATTTTTTGCAATTTTTTTGTATTTAAAGTTTTGAGGGATAAGCCTCTTAAATTTCTCCAAGTAGAAATATATGTAAAAAAACCAAAAAACGATTTTCAATTGTTTTGTAGTTTACAGCTTACAAAACACGTAGCTGGCTCGTACAGCTGCGACGTAAAATTTTCAAATAACGGGGCTACATTCGGTGATGCTAGCGTTAGCCATGTTAGCATACCTTCAACAGGTGGTCAGGCTGAGTCCACAGGCGCACAGTCAGAGTTTCAGCTCCACGTTTCACTGCACGGTCCCCTCATTCATCACATATCGGTGTCGGGCAGAGTGTAAATCCCGAGGCTGAACGGCCTTTGTGCAAGGACACAGGTGTTAGCAGGGCAAAGCTATGAGCACAAACTGCAGCATAGAAAAATCCAGGCAGACAGCCTGTGTCTGTCCAACCAATCAGAGAGCTCGTTACATCGCACCTTGTGGCTAATTCGGATTGCTTCGGAATTTTGCTAATCCAGTAGCTAATCCGCGAGCTAACAGGAAAGGAAAATTGATTTTCGAATGAAGAGTGAGATCGCAGTTTTAGATGTCAGATATAAATCTTTGAGTTTTGAATCTATTTGCTTATTTCTCTTTTTTTAAAATGTACTTAAACAGTCTCTAACTTTCCAGTAACAGAGCTACATTTGAAAAATACATTCGAACCTGTGACATCCAGATCTCAGGTTAAATCTCTGTAGTTATATCTCAGTATACGTCAGTGAATCAGGAATAATGTAAAACTATTTGAAACACCTTTACAGCATACAGAGTTCGGTCACTCTCCCCTGTTGTCTCTAGTGTCAGCTGCCTTTTTCTATTTACCCCCCTGCTTCTCATCTCTGTCCTCTCCCTCAGCTTCTCTTCTGTTGTGTGAAAGCAGGTAGATCTTTTATTCCCTGTAAGGTCCGCAGAGCTGTGTTCTCTCACCAGCTGACTCCCTGACCTGCACTTCATCCACTCACCTTCCATCTTGTATATTTAAGGACCAGCTCAATCATCTAGCTTTACAGCATAACTAATGTCATGTTCGTGTGCAGACTCTGTTATAGTAGTTTGATGTTGTTGTAATTTCCCATTTCCCAAAGCACTTACCTACAGTTCTCTTCATGTTTGAGATCCTCCTTGGTGTTTTCCTGCTAGTATCAACTCTACGGAAACCATCTGTGGAAACATCACTTCCTGAAATATCCAGCTGTCTGCAGTCACTCCACACAACCTCAGCTCAAATCTCGTCTATTCTGGGTTTCTTCCCATCACACATTTTCACAGTTTCGTTTAAAGTTTCATTTGCATGCACTTTGATGCTCACGCCAGAACATCTTCTGTCTCAGACTCACCTTAGAGAAATACTTCATGAAGCAGGGAATGTACTGTGTACGTACTGTATATTTGAAAAAGGACAAATTATATCTAGGAGACTTTTTTCTTTAAAAGCATCAGTGTATTAATAAACGTCGTAATTTGTCCTTTGAATAAAAGTTAAACTGATCTAAAAGATTTTTTAAACTTTTTAGCAGTGGGGGTTTTCCACAGAATTGTGCTGAAATTGGGTGAAAGACCAGTGTGTCACTCTGATAACACTTTGGTGCGATCAGGACACTGAGGTCAGTTAAAGACCTTGGTTTCCCGAACATGACCATCCCAGCATTCCTCAGTTCAGCATCAGACAAACAATGTCTTCCTGTAACTCAGTCTGGATTTTGCTTCTGTTCACCATCGCTGTGGATATTACATCAAACAATTAAAATGCGATTGCAGTGCAGAATCTAAGCGTTAATCCAAGCGCTGTAAGAGAAATATTCCATAAACTGCTTTAAATTTACAGGAACGGGCGTACATGGTCAGAGGCTCAGAGGTAATCAGGCAATGAGTGAGATAGAGATAGATAGAATTTTATTTTGAACATGCAAATATAAGTGAAATAACAAGAGAAAAGAAGAAAACAAAAAAACCAAACTAAAACTTTAAACAACATCAAGTTTTCATGTATATCTCTATGTCTACACAATGTGTGCGCTCGAAAAGGAGTAGGATGAAGTTTAGTGGCAAGAAGCTTCAAGGTCAGATGAGGCCAGCGCCCTTGTAATTCCATTAAAGAGATAAAACTTCTAAACTGGTGGAGAACTCGTGAAAAAGTCCATTCAAACATATTAAATCTAAGAAGTGGATTTTCTGCTGTTTTTTGGCTCCACTCAGCAAAATGACGACCCAGTCTGGACTACCAGGTGCTGCTGAAACCACAACAGATTTCAGATCAAATTTTGATATGTCCTGGTGATATTTCCATCAAATTTGCCTCTTTCAGCTGTAAATGAGATGGAGCCGGGCATAAATGAATGAGTCAAGTGGCCGTACACGTTTAACTGACTCAGTACTGAATATCAATACTGTATAAGTGTTAGTGAAAGTGTGTAAGTGTGTGTAGTTTACAAAAAACTAATTCCCATTGTGCGTCATCCTTCTAACACAGTAGTGACACCTCAGGCTATTTTTTGCACTGTGTTCATTGTGTTTGCTTTGTCAGTGCTCTCAGTCTGTCACAGACCTCATTATCAGGCACAGACACTCGGTGGGCACTGAGAAATCTAACACAATGCAGGAAGAGCTCCAGTTGCACCAACACATTCAGTTTCTTCAAACCAAAGTCACAGAGACTGTTTTACATCAGCAGATTAGGACGGGGTCCACGTTTTCCAGCACCTTTACTGACTCTACAAAATGTAACTGCAGAAACCCCCGAAACACAAATGACTCTTCTTAACCTCCTTCAACTACGTGTTGAACTCATTCAAGATTTCTGGATGTGTGCCTCACTGTTTCAGCAGGCTGACGGGAAAAGCTCAGTGTGAGGAAACCGTCGTGTTGTTGTGACAGCAAAAGAGCCGGTTCTGATGTGGCTCTAAAAGAGAAATCTGACTGTCTGGCTTTACAAACACGTTGCAACATAAGTGCTTCTGAATCAGTCCTCGTCAGAGTGATGCTGTCTCTTTCTAGTTTACATCAGCAGCTCAAAGCACACGTTCCCTCTCATAGAGGTCATCCACCAGCCTGCACCAATTACAACTTACTGACCACTCAAAGAACACCGGAAGATTTAGCATCAGCAATAACATTGGATTTATATGTGTACAGATGTGCATGAGTTATTTTCTCACCTTTTCCGTAACTTTATATGATTTCAGTCTGTTTTCAGTTTGTCCAAAAGCATCAGATATTATAACTTTAAAGTCTAAATTTAGTCCTCACTATATATTCTTTGTGGTTATTCTGACATGACTCCATCCTTACATAGTGTTATTCGCTTATCTAATTCAGGGAGCTTATCACAACTATCTACTTGACTCAGTGTACTTAAGTCACTAAATTAAATCCTACATAGAATAAGGCAAAAGGTCATGTGTAGCTAAAATACGTTAGAATGACTATAAATAGTGGTTTCCTGTTTTTTAGGACAGCAGCATGAAGCTTAAAGCTATTTTTCAGCTTTACTTGAACATTAAAATTCAGCAGTCCGAGCGTGTCAGTGTTGCAGAGGTGCTGACATTTGGTGTATGGGTTAGATAGAGATAACTGTTCAGAGCCACAGACACCCTGCTCTTGAATAATCTGGGTGTGGACATTTGCTAGATGACTAAAGTTGTATTTAGTAATTCAAGAAGGGCAAACTGACCTCAACTTTGTGACTCTTTGACCCAACTTTGACCTTCCTGCTTCAGCTCAACTTCAGATCACAGAGTAAGAAACGTTAAGATAAAGCGCAGGACCAGTTACATACAACAACTTACAAGTTCGCCTGTACGAGTGCATGATTTGACATCTTTTTAAAGACGTGTATCCAGACCAGTGGGCACGTGATCCTGACCACCTTTGTTCTGGTGTCACTTTGGGGTCACTGGGCCTATATTTGGTTAAGACCTGTGTCTGCCTTCTATCTCTGACAGCTTCGATATATTCTGTAACTTCATGATCTTTGTTTAGCACCAGATTTCTTTCTCATCTGCTTTGGCTTCTGCTTTCTTTGCATGGTGTTATAATTCAGCCCACTCTGATTGGTATTTGATGGGTTTTGTTTCCGTTGTGTTTGTTCAGCGCTTTGGTCGACGTGAGTCGCTATTTCTTTATAAATGTGCAGAATGAAGTTTATATTCTTGTTTTTCTCTTGATTTCATTCTATTTGTTACAATGACTAAAGACTCAAGAGAGATAATAATAAAGAGCCTCTGAAGCTTTCACTCATGCCTACACCCACAGAGGAGTGTAATTTTTGGTATGTGAGAGGTCACAGAGGGAGGAGAAGCAGCATGACCGAGTGTTTGGGGGGTGAGTGTGTGTCAGATAAGTGGGAAGTCCTCTCTAGAGCATAAATACATGAGCCTGGTGGACATGGAGCACGAATCTGAGACAGCGTGAAGACATTTGGAGCAGATATTCACAATGGCCAACCACAAAGGCAAGTGAACGTCTGCTGCTGACTGCAGCTATTACTGCTAGTACAAAATTAGTTTGGATTTTAATGTGTGAGAAATGTGCTGACGGGTGAATCAGCATTTGGGTGCTACAGGACTCGTCCTGGGTCCCCACCGAAGGCTTTCACAGCTTTTGAGCAAAACTAGGACAGGAAGGAAGGCAGCTATGCATTGAGAACAAATACGTGTAATTTTGCAGATTATGCAAAGTTAATACTTTGTCAATAATCTGATTTAAAGGGGAGAAAAATCAACAGTTGGAAAAATCATAGGCAGAGCAGCACAGCCGACGTACATCTTGACTATGATCATGGACTTGACTCTTAGCAATGTCGCAGCTTAAAAAAAGCTGAAACTCCCAAGTCTGTAAATGTGTTATTTGGCGATATGACAGAAACCTCTATAAGCCTGATATCAGTGCATGACCGATGTCCGAACTTTCTGCTGTTTGTCTTAGGTTTGATTAGTGATGTGGATCTGAGAAGTCGTGAGAACAACTCGGCACACCGCACCAGGGAGATCGATCAGAAGCGCTTGATTGTCCGTAGGGGTCAGCCCTTCTCCATCACTGTGCAGTGTAATGGCTCTTTGCCCCCCAAACACCACTTGGATCTAGTCCTGCACCTCGGTGAGTACAGGCTGACCAGGAAGGAGCTGTAAAGATAGAAAAGATTAAACTCGAGTCTTCTGGGGAACATTGCAAAGAAAGCATCTTGTTTTGGAAGATTTCTTTAGTCAGTCAGCACCTTATAAGAACTGTAACTCATTAATAAGTCAGTATCAGTTCGTACGTCCTTCCTTATGCCGTCTCAATTTCAACTACAAATTGACTTAATTACATAACAAGTTACAATATTGGTTTTAATGTATATTTATACAGTTATACACAGCTTGTTTGTACCTTTGTAAAAGAAGAAATCTTATACAAACACTGATTGTTAGTAAATATTGTGTGTACAATAGACTGTACTTTTACCTTAAATTTAAGTTTTATATGTAGCAAAACTGGGTCTACACAAGTCTATTGATCGTCAAAGGAGCTTGCAAGGAAAAGCGTCTGGACTTCTTTAAGTTGCTTGAAGACGTTTCACCTCTCATCCGAGAAGCTTCTTCAGTTCTAAGGTCAAATGGTGGAGAGTCCCAGATATAAACCTAGTGGGAGTTTCCCCCCACAGAGGGACAAAAGGACCCCCTGATGAGGTGAAACGTCTTCAAGCAACTTAAAGTCCAGACACTTTGCAAGCTTCTTTGACACGATGAGCTGGATGACTGAGAACCTTCACAGACATAAGTCTATTGATCCCCAACACTGAACTCCTCCTGATCATTAAAACAGTTCAGATTTATAACCATCACTTGCTGTGTAAAGCTGAACACCTGTTCCATACATGCTGTTGTTTCTGACCCAGAAGGCTTTGTTTGTTTCACCAGGTAAGAGAGACGAGGTGGAGATCAAGGTTCAGAAGGTGCATGGAGCTGGGGACAAGTGGTGGTTTAACCAGCAGGGAGCACAAGATGAAATGCTGCTGACTCTGCACAGTCCAGCAGATGCTATCATTGGCCAGTACAGTCTGGCTGTGCTGCTGATGTCACCGGACGGACGCGTTTTAGAGAAAAAGGACAAAATGAGTTTCCACCTGCTCTATAACCCCTGGTGCAAAGGTAAAGCGTGCGCTCTCTGTGTGTCTGATTGCTTCAGCAGGTCAGACTGAAGCCACTGACACACTCTGAGTTTCATTTGCTTTTTCTGCGATTACGATGAATTAAATTCCACAATAAGCAAAATGATCAGATTACAACTGAAGATTTCATATTAGCAACACTGTCGTGGTCTTTATGCGTTTACCAGATGATGTGGTGTATCTGCCTGACGAGACTCAGCTTCAGGAGTACATCATGAACGAAGAAGGAATAATCTACATGGGGACCTGGGAATACATCAAAAGCATTCACTGGAATTATGGACAGGTAACACACACAAACATTTAAAGTGTGACTGTGCTGAATACATCTGTGTCTGTCAGCCCAGTGGGGTGTGACAAAGCGGGCGAGAAGACCATTTGTCTAAATTCTTAGTTAACATTCTTGTTTTGATTTAACCATATTTCACACGTAGTCTGCAACAGGCAAACATCTACTATCCTGGGTTTCTTTATGTTTTGCACTTTTACAGATTATATAATATAACATCTTAGTTTAAATCAATCCCTACAAGTTTGTTAAGTTAACATGTTCTTCATTTCAACTGTTAATTTGTATTGTTTACAACTTACCTTCTTCTTCTTTTACGTATTATTGGCGGTTGGCAAACAACTGCATGGTGCATTACCGCCACCACTGCTATGGAGTGTGGACAGAAATCATGCTCAAAACAACAACAAAAAAAACACTTCATATCCTCCCAAACAACCTTACTTCTCTCAAAAACTGAAACAATGCCTGATAACACTTATCCCCCGCCTCCCTCTGTAGTAACCCTACAACATCAAGTTTCATATCAATGCTACTGAGATTTCGGACCAACCGTCTCCTCTCTACCGTATATTTCCGACACTGCAAAACAACATGCTCCAAAGTTTCATCCGCTCCACAAGAATCACATTTCCCTGAGGCATGCTTCCCTATCAAGAACGGTGTGGAATTCAAACCCATATGCCCAAATCTCAGTCTTGACACCACCTCCTCCTCTCGCCTACTCCTTCTTGTGGATCTCCTCACTCCCACCCCCCTTTGAATTTTATATAACCACCTTCCCCTCCTGTCTTCGTCCCACTGTTTCTGCCATCTACCCCTCATTTCGAGCTTAATAATACTCTTTACTTCCTCCTGACCAAAATTCACCACCAGATCAACTATCTCATGATTAGTGGCTGCCTTTGCTAACCTGTCCGCTGCTTCATTCCCCCTTAACCCCATAGTGAGCCGGGACCCAATCAAACACTACCGATAGACCCATCATATGTATCCTGACTTACCTTACCTACCTGTCTTCCAGAAACAAAAGAAGGAAATGTAGTTTTACTTCCTGCTTTATAGCTTCTGGGTTCATCTGAGGTCACAGGAAGAGACCAAGTGCAGAAGGGGAAGAACTCTTATAATTTAATAAAGTTGGTTTTAGAGGGTTTATGAAGAAATGGATTTATTGTTGTAATATGTATTGATTACAGCAATAGAGTTTATGTTGCCAGTAAAGAGGAGCAGTAGAGGTTTGAATATAATCATGTTCATCTTACCTACTGAATGGAATAGTCCAGAGGAGAAAGTGTTTGGTTAAGTGGACGATTTAAGCAGAAGAACTCAGGTGTTTCAAGAGAAAGGTCCAGGTCAGTGTAGCTGTGTGCAGTCTGACCTTAATTTCCACTGATTTAAGTTCAGTTATGTTTATTTGAACTGAGTTAATTATAGAGTTGAGTTTCTTATTTGTTTCTTTGTAAATATTGTTTGGGTCACAAAATAAATCACTTGCTACACTGGACAGCATCAGTCTCCTGCACTTCTTTGACCGCTTAAGTCGAGTCCTACCACAGGGGGCTGGTGTGAACTGTCACAGCAGTGTGGCAGAGACTCTCAGGCTTTGGCTGGATCTGAAAATCTGTCAGTTGTCTGGAGGAAACATCTGGATGCGATGTGTCAGAATGTAACCAGACCACACAAACAAAGGCTCACCCATTCACAGGTAGCTGCGAGGGCAGAGAGGATGACTAACAGGCAGACTGTGGGTGTAACAGATGCACACGTACAGTGGGGGAAATAATACGAATCTGTGGAGGGAGCTGAAGCCTTGAGTTGCTAAGGAGCAGCCAATAAACCTGAAGGAGTGTTTCTGTTAAGAGGGGTGGACCAAAATCCCCCCTGACATGTGCGGTTGTCAGAAAGGGTTTCTTCACCAAGTACTAAGTTATAATCTTCTTGAGGATCAAAAGTCATCAGCACAGAATCCAAAACTTATTTCCCCTACTGCACACACTGGGCAGCCGATGGGAAACATTTAGTATTTAGAAAAAGGTTCTTCAGGAAATCTCTTTCCTGTTTTTAGGCGCTCTTCTATGGCCTCTCTCACTGGCGTTCTCCTTCTCCTGCAGTTTGAGGACTATGTGATGGACATCTGTTTTGAAGTCCTGAATAACTCCAACGATGCTCTGCGAGACTCACAGATGGACATTGAGCAGAGATTTGACCCCGTCTACGTCAGCAGGATCATCACTGCAATGGTGAGAAGCATTTCTGGCTTCGGCTGAAAATAATGTTAACGGCTGGAAAACATTTGGTTTCATTTGTGTGAGCACATGATGAACATGATCTGCAGCTCATGAATGCCACAGCAGCGATCCTGAGTCTATAGGTGAACTCTTGCAGGTGAACTCTAATGATGACAGAGGAGTGCTGACTGGGCGCTGGACTGAGCCGTACTCTGATGGAGTTGCACCGTACCGGTGGACCGGCAGCGCACCGATCCTCCGTCAGTGGAGCAAAGCTGGGGTCAGAGCAGTGAAATATGGCCAGTGCTGGGTGTTTGCTGCTGTTGCATGTACAGGTAACACAGACTTCCCTGCATTCAAGGATAGCTAAATCATTCTTTTAAAAGCATCCCTTCTGTAGCAGTTGTCATTTAAACTACTTCCATTGTTCCAGATCTTCAGCACAAACACATTCACAACATCAGATGTAGAAACAAATGCTTTGTCTCAGTTGGAGCGTGTGATCTTTTCACAGTGCTGCGCTGTCTGGGAATCCCAACACGCCTCATCACCAACTTCTCTTCAGCTCATGATGTCGATGGAAACCTCTCTATAGACTTCCTGTTGGATGAAAACCTGCAACCACTGGAGAGCAGAGGAGGGAGAGACAGCAGCTGGTAGGATCACAGGAACGCCTACGATCAGAAAAAATACACAAATATGGCATTATCTAACGGGAGGTGATACGTTTTCCGTCCTCACGGTTTTAGGAATTTCCACTGTTGGGTGGAGTCTTGGATGAGGAGAGATGATCTCCCCAAAGGAAATGATGGCTGGCAGGTTTTAGATCCCACCCCTCAAGAACTCAGCGATGGTACGGTCCTAACGTTTGATGTTTTAGTCCACATGTTTTTCTGGTACTTTTCTGTGTAAACTCATTTCTGTATTTCATCGTTATGAACGGCTGTGAGGATTGTCACCGCTGCCTTTCTTTAGAGCTAAAACAAAGATGTTGATAGTTTGACTTCCACTTGAAAAAAATACTTTTCAAAACCTTATTTAGTTCAGAAAAGTCCCACCGTTGTTTCCTGAGTGTCAAAACTTAGTTCCAGGTGGACTTGGGTGGTCATCAAACTGAATAATAATTGTTAAAAGTGTTTTGATGTCACTTAGTGATTCTCTACTGATGCAGGAAATGCTTTTAAATAAATGGACGTTTGTGCTTCAGGGGTTTTCTGCTGTGGTCCGTGCCCTGTGACGGCCGTCAGGGAGGGAAATCTGGGAGTGAAGTACGATGCTCCGTTTGTGTTTGCAGAGGTGAACGCTGACATCATCCACTGGATCGTTCAGAGAAATGGCCAACGGAGAAAAGTATGTGTTGTTTTTGTCAGTTTTTCTATCTTCCAACTCATAAAGCAGTAACCACACACACACACACACACACACACACACACACACACACACACACACGTTTTTATAACAGATAATCATTTCTAATGGTCTCTCCGACTTCCACAGATCAGAGTGGACCAGACCACTGTGGGTAGGAACATCAGCACCAAAAGTGTTTATGGGGACTTCAGAGACGACGTCACTGTGCAATACAAATATCCTGAAGGTTAGTTGGAAAGCAGAACACACGCAGGAGCATATAAATAACGTTTACATGAGTTCATGGCAGTTCTTCATGAAAACTCTCTTCTCCACAGGATCCAAGAAGGAGAGAGAAGTGTACGAGAAGGCGGGGCGTCGGGTGACAGACGTCCTCAGTGACAGCTCAGAACCAGGACGACTGCAGCTGTCCATCAAGCACGCCAAGCCTGTGTTTGGGACAGACTTTGATGTGATTATTGAGGTATGGACTATTCACACTGCAGCTAAATGAGTGGATGAACTAAACCTGAATTCATGACACAGTCTTTCTGTCAGTAGGTGAAGAATGAAGGAGACCAGGATGCTCACGTCCAGCTGACCATGCTGGCTACGGCTGTTACTTACAGCTCTCTCTATCGGGGGAACTGCCAGAAGCAGACCACCACTGTGATGGTGCCTGCTCACAAAGGTCAGCAGCCTAGATGAGCTCTGACATGTTACAAAGTAACATCTCAGCTGCTCTTGTAATTCTGTAAGAGCTGGATGCTGTTTGATGCTGTGTGTTTGTGTGTTACCAGCTCAGCAGGAAGTGCTGCGTCTGCGCTACGATGACTATGCCCAGTGTGTCTCAGACGATCATCTGATCAGGGTGAAAGCATTCGTAGAGGCTCCAGGCGAGAACGAGCCCCTCCTGACTGTGACTGACATCCCACTCAGCAGACCTGACGTCTTCATACAGGTGGGAATACCTGTAGAGGTCACCTGGGTTATTATAGTTTTATATTTTCTAACACGTTTTAACTTTTTGTTTGTAAGTCAGAGCTGGTTTGTTTGTCCCAGTTCAGGTTTTTTTGTTTGAAAATCTTTCACTTTAGTTTTTACTAGTTTCAGTGTTGGTTTGAGTCTTTTCAGTTATTATTGTGTGGAGGGGACACGTCAGAGGAAGACTTTGGAAAATCAGTATTCCAGTAAAAACTCTTTGTGAATGCAGTTGATTCGCAGCCTTGTAGACATTCAGTTTCAGACGTTCTAGAACACAGAGCGGTCTCCTCTTTCTCCAGGTTCCTGGGAAGGCTTTTGTTCGTGAACAAGTAAAAGCTTCCATCTCCTTCACCAATCCCTTACCAGTTCCACTGAAAGGAGGTGTGTTCACTGTGGAGGGCGCAGGCCTACTCTCTTCCACTAAGATCCATGTTAGGTAAGTAATGGGTCTGCTGTTTAGAACAAAAGTTTAGCCCACAAAGCAAAGCTTGTCGCGTGTATGAAGAATGAGGCAATGGGTCCAACATTGGGAAAATGTGGGATAAATGAGTGCGTGGGTGGGCGTTGTTACATAGAGACTATAAGTATATACTTATAGCAGCCCTCTCAATCACTTAAAAGTATCAGTATTTTACAATCTGCCTAGCGCAGTAGGGACTCGCTGTGGTCATTTGGATCCCTCAGTGTAATAATACGGTTTTTCTGGGCCAGGACAGAGTTGGTCCAAAGGCCAGTCCTTGAACAGGGATTTTTCCATGTGTGAACCAGTGGCTTGATTGTAATAAACTGCCCTTGTAGGTTATTCCTGATGACTTTAATGTGGCACT